CTGACCCACATAAATGATGCACACCATAATATGAACCAAACACATGTAAACAGGCTCCCACTGTGTCGCACAACACTTTATATAATCAACTGTCAGAACTGCAGTGCAGCTTACTAATGGTAAAGAAGCACCACGCAGTTGAGTTTCACGTTTATGGAGAGGTTTTATTGTCCTAACTTCCAATTGTAGGATCGGCTTTAAGCTGCAAACTCTCAATTCGTTGTTATGGAAATTGATACATTGTAGCTGTGTCATCAAACAGAGCTGCCGTTATTGGCAACATGTTGACGCTGGCTAAGGTGATCTTGATTTTGAACAGTGCGTCTGGCTGTAGCTGGGCTGCTCTGAGCCAAGTATGACTCATCACTGCCTCCCTCGTCTCCCTCGTCTCGGCCTCCATTATCTCAATGAACATTATCCATTAATCTGTCGCGCCCCTACTGTGCCAAACACTCTGCGGCATTCAAGCAGGAAGAACACAAAAGAACGTAAAAGTAAATCAAGCAAAGTAGTGAATGATCATCATATCTTAAAGACCTCATGCTACATCACTTTAGTTATATAAAGGGATAAAAATAATGTTTCCTGGGATGCAATTGACAATCTTCTAACTGGGAAATCCCACTTTCTGCTTTTAATAATTCAAACTTTCCTGACCCTCCGTTCTACAGGCTCGGGCTGCTGGGGGACTTCCCATAGTGCAACTACTGCATATCATGAACCTTCGTCATCTCTCTCCTTTGGTTGGTATTTCATCCATGACCTCTCTGCCCCTCTTTTCTCTGTTCATTTTCTTATCTGTTCCCATCGCCTCCCCCCTCCTTAAACCTGGTTCTTCCTTCCCACTATCACCAAATGCTTGCTCTTCTGGATCTTTTGTGCTTTGTATTTATTGCTCATTAGTCCTTTTTTTTTTTTTTTGCAACAACATATCAAACCTGACAGAAACATAAATGTGGTCATACCAATTCATCTACCTGAGCACGTTTAAAAACACATGTTGTTGTTTCCTGTATTCAGACTTAGCAAGTACGTCTGTACATTTTCATGCCTGATACTACTGGTGCTTGGCTGTTACAATAATTATTGGAACATTTGAGATAATGTGATAATTTTTCTCTTTTTAAAAAGTACGACCATTTTTTATATATACAAGTTTACATATGGTGGCTGGTGTATTTTTGATTTGTGTCCTCTTTATCTGACCCAGCTGCATGAAATCTAAAATATAAGATGAAATGTGTGTGGATCACTGAAATCTGTGAATCTCATCCTCCCTGGACCAAAGTGAATATCGAGCCATTTTGTAACTTTATTGCACAAAGTCTTCGTTGCCACCCCAGCTTCAGATGCCAAATGATAAACCACAGGTCACAACTTGTTAAATATTGTAAATACGGAGTTAAGAGCAACACAGTTATGTGATTACAAATTGAAATGCCCTGCTGTCACTAATGGATACTGTTTCAGAATAACTTATAAATGTTGATTGCAAATAATGAAAGCGTTTGAATCAATGTCTTGTATCACCATCAGAGATGGGCAGTAA